CCCCCCCCCCCCTTCGGGACGGTTCCACTACTGAAAAACTAGACACACGGGTTTGGGTTGGAACGCTCACCCTCGCTTTGTGTGAAAAATGTAAACGTAGATGCCCTACGAAAGAGCGGAAACCACTGCGTAGTGTGGGGGGAGCGTCTTTCCTATTATCTCATTTTTTTCGAAAAATATTGGTTCTATGCAAAAAATGCATACGACATAAATGATGTATTTTTTCAAGAGCTACAACTTTTATTTGAAACATTTCTTTGTTACATCAATATTTATCAAAATAATGTTTAAAAAAACGATAATTTTTTAGTTTTTTTTAAGTTTTGACTTCGAAAATGACCTTGTCGCCAATCGGCATGATCATATTCGTAATCAGCGCGCAAAAATACAATAAAAGCGTAGTTTGGAACAAATCTGAGGTGTGGGCTTTTTGGAACTACACCCTTAATTATCATGTATCATTAATTCTACATCAAGTTGTTTATGCATTTCAAAAATTTTCAAGTAATTTAGTTTTGATAAAATCGTACTAATGAATGCAAACAAACATAATGTATCAATTTTAACGAGAAAATTCACGTTTGTCGAATTAAACGACCTGCTTGTAACAATTCCATCAAAACCCTTCGAGTTTATTTACTCTTTAAGCGATTAACCCTTCAAGTGATTTGATTTACTTTCGCTAAACTTGATTAATTTAACTTTATTGGAACATGACCGCACAATCTGCTCAACAAACGCACACGCATGTAGGCATGCGCCACGATAAAGCACACAAATTGCGAGCCGGGTTGGCGCCGCTTCCCGAGCAAAACCACGCGCGATCTTCGAGCAGCTGTGCGATTGATCACAATAATAGAACGCCGACTCAGATAGATCCCGACTGAGAGAGACACACGGTGCGGCAACAGCTGCGCGACGAGAACGATCTTCCGATCGTTTAGTCGTACGATTTGGTCGATATTTCGGCTTCACGATCGCTAGAGAAAACGATGATACAGTAAGAGATTCATAACAATGTGGATGTAACTTACGCCGAGGAGAATCGTATCACCAAGGAGGCAGTAACGAAAACAAGCGAGCAGCCGTCCCATCGTGTCATTCGCTTATAAATAGTATAACACACGACAACGAAACCGTCTAAATCACACAAAAACTTCCTGGTTGCGACGTGTTGCGTGTCGTCGTCGTCACGGTGATCGGACCCTAAATGTCTCTCACCTCGCACTACCTCGCACGAGATACGACTGAACGCCGAACGGCGATGTGTGCCGCGCGCGCTAGACGAGCAATGCGCTTAACCAATCGGCCACATGCTTTTTTCCGAAAACACATGTACCCTACTTTCGGAAAAGCGGGACCGCGTCGTAGCGTTTTTTTTCTTCTTATGAAAGAATCGTTGCAAGCAAAATATTGGCGTCACGGCATCCATCTACCGGATGTAATCAATGCATTGCGCAATAGATTGAACACCGACTGCTTTTGTATCAGGCCTATTGTGTTCATCTACAAAGCCTGCGAACGTAACATGAGATGACTGGTCGGCATCATTGGCGTCTCAAGATATTAAGATCTCAAGATATAGATATGAAGAATGTAAACCTCACGGAGAGTCGTATTGCTTTCGGCATTTGATAACGTATGCTGGTGGATATAAAGATAAGAAACAAAAGTTTTATAATACGTGACTTCACTCGAGCCGCCGAAAAACGAAACCTGCGCGTTGCGTCATCTAGCGGCAGTATGTGAAAGTTTTCACATAAATCGCCGAAGTACAATTGACGTTTACAAGTGTGTGTGATCCTAACCATCCTAACTATACATAAGTGTGAAGTATAGTAAACAGCATAAAGGACGTAATAATCCGATCGCTATTGTCTAAGCTATGTATAAATAATTACTAAAATTGGCGATTGTAATTTGAAAGAGACAATTGATAAAGTTAGTATATGCGCTTTGTAATAATTATACTAACGGTTGACAGTTTAGTATTCTTCGGTGTTTAACCTCACCAGTGTAAAAAAATTATTTATTTGGGAACGTTTTTGTTGCAACACCTTAGTAAATATCACAATATGTAACAGTTTTCTCTTATTTATATTTTCAAACTCTGTTTTGTCACGTTTAAAGCAATACATATTGCTCGCATTTGTTAACAAGCATCACTTCCTGACAATAAAATGTCGCTAGAAGATTTCACGTTTTATACAGCTATACTTATTGTTATTTCTATACTTATTGATTTGATTGTATTCTTTAGCATATAGCAGAATGGCATCTGATCAAAATAGTATTGCTCAGAAAACATGGGAGTTATCGAACAATGTTGAAACCATTAGCACTATAGATGAAATTTACAGATATGACAGAAAAGAGCAACAGGATATATTAACTGCCAAACCATGGGAAAAGGAGTAAGTATACTAATGATTTTTAACTTGTAAAAATTAAAAGCATTGACTATCTTATTGCTTTCTCTCGTTTGTAGCCCTCACTTCTTCAAAGACATAAAAATATCAGCACTAGCCTTATTAAAAATGGTTATGCACGCTCGATCTGGAGGAACGCTAGAAGTGATGGGCCTTTTACTTGGCAAAGTAGCAGCAAATACAATGATTGTGATGGATTCTTTTGCGTTGCCGGTTGAGGGAACGGAAACTAGAGTAAACGCTCAAGCCCAAGCTTACGAATATATGACAGCTTATATAGAAGCAGCTAAACAAGTGCGTACATCTACTTTGCTATAAAAACTGCTTTGAACGTAATAGAAAAAAACAACCTAAAATTTATAATAATATGGTCTTTAGGTCGGTCGACAAGAAAATGCTATTGGTTGGTATCACAGCCATCCTGGATATGGCTGTTGGTTGTCTGGTATCGATGTGTCCACCCAAATGCTCAATCAAAACTTTCAAGAACCATTTGTTGCTATTGTCATCGATCCTGTGAGAACGATCTCCGCCGGCAAAGTTTGCCTGGGTGCATTCAGAACTTACCCGAAGGTATATCAAGCCATATATATTCAGATTCACTAATCTATTATTTTCTTCAAAAATTAGAAAAGAAATCAAAGAGATTTGAAATATATCTTTACCTCAATACTCAAATTATTTATTTTGTATTTGTTGCGAGACACTTTTTGCAGTAATATATATTTGCAGGGATACAAACCAGCAAACGAAGAGCCGTCGGAATATCAGACAATACCGTTGAACAAAATCGAGGATTTTGGCGTTCATTGCAAACAATACTACTCTTTGGAAGTGTCTTACTTCAAATCTTCGTTGGACAGACGATTGCTCGACTCACTGTGGAACAAATATTGGGTGAACACTCTGAGCTCTTCCAGTCTTTTGACCAATGCGGATTACACCACTGGCCAAATATTCGATTTGTCGGATAAACTGGAGCAGTCGGAGTCGGCATTGGGCAGAGGATTTGTCCTTGGTGGTACGGATCCCCATGATCGTAGCACCGTCGAGAAGCTCATAAAAGCGACCAGAGACAGTTGTAAAACCACCATTGAAGTTATTCACGGTTTAATGGCGCAGATCATTAAGGACCGACTTTTTAATCATGTTGGCGGCAACGCGACTTGCGATCCTCAACAAAATTGTCAACAAGAATAAAATCCTGTGTAATGTGTGTGATAATAATTCCGATACAACGTGTGTATTTATAATAAAGACATATGTATCCTGCTTATAAAATTGAGATCCATAGAACAATTACTTCACAAGCCAACTAAAATTACCTGGCTAATTAGAATAATATCGTTAAGTTCTTTTTACATCTTTATAGAAGCGTTTGAAATGTACGAACGACAGAGAAACTCTAAAAGCACATTGTGGAATAAAAATACATTTTTATTTTCACACCTTGATTCGCTAGAAAGTATATATACAGCATTTTTATCATTAATCAATATCCTCGCGCGCGCGCGCGCGCGCGCGTGCGTGTGTGTGTGTGTGTGTGTGTGTTTGTTTGTTTGTGTGTATATATATATATTTATATATTTATAAGTATGTTTATAAAACTAATATATAATATTCAGAACAAGTAGGCAGAGCAAAACCCCCACTGAAGGGCTGACGCACTGTGTCACAGACTTTAAGGACAAGGCCACTCAGAAACGCACACCCACCTGTTCTATTTTATATTACTCCTACACCTCGCGCGCGCACTCGCACAACACATAAGGGACGGAGCTAAAATGCATACAGTTTTATACTCAATCAACTGTAAACCTAATCGAGAAGTTTTACAAATGATATGCCACTTAAAGATCAGAAGGAGACGCACGATTGAGAAAAACAATACGTGACGGAACACCGCTCCCGAGAAATGAATCTTTATGGTACATACATACATCTACACTTACGTAGTATCGGCGCTTTGATGTTGTCACATCGAAGCGAATTAAATAATTAAGTACAGCGGCGTATCTCTTTTTTTTTTAAGCTAATTTCGTAGGAAAGTTCTAGAGAAAATAGATATGTAGAAACCTATTTTGCGAACGCTATTGCTCCCGGCGTACTATTTCTTCCTAAATTGTATATCTATTACAGAACTCAGTCGCTCGTCGCAAGCTTCATGCGTGAAAATTCGACAAAGTATGAAAATCGTACGAATATTATGTTAAATGAGCGAGTTTCATCCGTACACTTTTCCCACTTCTCTTCTCAACATGTGTATTATATGTACAAGCGATATCCAGCAATAGTAGTAATAGTAGTTCGAATTGAGTAAAATTGGAATTTTCGAAATTAGATAATAAAAATCAACACAGTTACTTTATTGTTAATTTCATGTTAGTGTTTACTACAACTTAAAAAGTAGACTATTGTCAACATGTATGTATATATAATTGTTCAATTTTACGTTCTGACTTGCGTAAAAACGATGACATGGAATTAGATTTCAGTTGGACTACAGTTTACGGATACAAAATCAATCTTAAAGCAAATGAAATTTATAACGTTTTTTTTTTGTATAATAATTTTTCAATCAAATGACATACTAGAGTTATAAGCTCGTGTTTATACAATAATTCTCGTTAGAATCAATTTGATAAAATCCAATGATCGTGTCTAGCGAAATACATAATCCAGCGAAACACTGTTAGGGCGATGTTTTGAATGAATCAATATCATTTGACCGAAGAGGCAGTTGGTCGACAAGAATTTCCCCGACCTCTCTCGTAATGATAACCGAATGTAATGTTCAGCATACATGCATACACGCGCAGATAACATGACAATCAGAATTCAGCCCTTCAATGTTACTCTGTACTCTGAATACAAATTCAAAACAGTATAATCGCGCATACATCGCACACTCATCCATCCTAAACGTCCGTGTTATGTGTATACGTGTATCAGCAATGTGTTTTGTGTGTGTGTGTACATTCCCCCCTCCCCAAAAAAAATATCACTCGAAGACGAAAACATGAATATTCGCATTTGTTATTGAGTTAACAGCTGTATCGTGTACACATATAAAGAATCCCATTTCGCGGTTGTTTTTTTTTTTTTAGTATTTCCCCATTTTGCTCGTATTTTTCTCACCTCTATACGTCACTGCGATTATCTAATATGTACAGGACGATGCCGCGAGTTATCCGCGGTGTCTTACTTACAAATGTAGCGGTAGAAAAGATCGATTTGTTACAGCGAGAGTTAAGCGCCTTCTCGTCGATAAGTTTTTGGGGGCAGCGACAGCACTTTCGGTGACGGAACTCCTTCCGAAGCATCACGGTTTTCCTCCGTTTCTCTTTCTCTCAAGTGGCGTGTTATGCGTCTGATGTGTTTGTCTGTTGTCTTCTCTCAACATTCGTTTCCCTATTTACTTCCGTTTTCTATCTCATTTAGCCTACATGAGAAATTACGCGCTAAATTAGTAGCCGTAAAACAGCGGGAATGCGACCGTTCGAAGTACTCCAGTATTTCCCCAACTCCTACCGCGTGTTTCGGTTAGAAAAAATATTTACATCTCTTTCTTTTCACACACGCGCGGCACAGTATGAGAGCAAAGTACTTACACCCTCACATTGTAACTGATAATGGTACGTAATTTTGAAAAACTCTGGCGTAAATATCACGTTATCCGCGACGCCAAGTTTATCGCAATTCACGTATTCACAATAGCATTGATGTATGTGCCGAAAGAATTAATATTGTTCGAAGAATCCATTCTTACATCGTACGCGAAATTAAATCACATATTGTTGCTTGAACAAATCCGAAAGTCTCCTTACAAGGTTTAGGTCAGTGCCATATATACGCAAGGGTTCAGTTGCTTAATACAAATGCTTGTGTGTGTGTGTGTTAGATACATCCGTTTGCCAAATTGTATGTTTCACTGTTCCTGACAAGGGGAGACCGTATTTCCTCTTCCTCTCAGTCTGTCTTCAAGATTCGATTAATTATTTTTAGGCGGCCATATGTACAAATGTTTTTTGTATTAGATCTTGTCACTGTGATGTGAAGCCGGGAAAGTTATTGACTTCCGTTTGTTCCAGAACTGGTCCAGTCGGGCCCGTATACGATATACGCAATCTCATCCTTAACGCTGCCTAAAGAACATGAAAAAAGAACGTCGATTAGAGGCTGAAACTTCAATCAATCGTTTTTCTTTTGTAGTAATAAATATCGGCAACTGACTCTATTCATATTCGTGACTCTCAACACTTGAGTTACTTGACCAGACGGCGGAATGACAGTACCTGACGGCGATAACATTTGTAATTGGAATGTCTGCAAACGGAAAGTATGAGATTAATACATTAGTTTGATGTACAAACAAACAATCATATGTAAGTATGAGGTTAATACATTAGTTTGATGTACGAACAAACAATCATATGTAAATATCTCACCCTAGGAACTGCTGCTTGGAACAGAAAATCGGTTAAAGTGGTGCTTCCAGAGTTCTGAGCCTGCATATTTATAACTAATAGATCGGGAACATCTGGTGGTCTCTCCAATTTAAACGTTATTTTGAGCCCTGCCTTGTCCAAGACCACCATGCTCGATACCTCTGTAATAACAATCACGAGATTACAATAATTTGCGTACGAATAAATTTAGACATTACTTTCTTTAGATTTCACGACGAACCATTTTGAACCGACGGAGTATTGAGCAATCCATCCATTAAGAAGTTGTTCGTACTAGTGGGACTGAACATGGGTGGCGTTGATGCTTGCGGTTGCAACGGTAGCGTAGGCGCAGCAGGCGTAGGTGTATTCAAATCCAAATTTCCGAGCAGATCTAATAGATCGTTATTATGCGCCACCGCGATCGAACTCGGCGAGGAGTTTTTAGTGGTCGCCGGCATCGTCACTCCCACATCCGTAGTTCCAAGTAAATCTAAAAGTGCACTCTGCAAAATTGCAAAAAGAAAGTGAAATGCTTATTCGCACGATGTCGATTTTTTAGAGTTTGCAAGTCTGTAGAATGTATCTTCTAACACTGCTAAATATTTTTCACACTGTATAATGTTACAGAAAACAGGAATACAAATGATAATTTGAAAAAGGATCATTTTATGTGCTTACTGAATCGGATGTAGTTGTGGTCGGTTCGATCGTGGACAATTTCTCGTCTTCCGGTTCCGGCTCGCCGTTCACCATGCCAATAATACCGTTAGCTTGCGGCCGCGCCGTCTCCATCGGCGGCATTCTCTCGAGCAGCGCGGGCCGCAGGTGATCGTACTTCCGGAACAACTGCGAGAACTCAATGCCTCTCTGCTGTAACTCGATATGCAAATTGCTACCAAATGTATCTATGATCTGACGAATTTTTCTGCAATAAGAGAACATTGATTAGGATTATGTTTCAGCGGTGAAAGTGGGATTTCTTTTACAGACAAATAACACTAACTCGTGACCTTTCTGGAACCTCGTGCTCAATTTCGTGAGAGACAATAAAGTGTACTGTTTTGTAACCACAGTGTTCTGCGGATTCCAGAGTAACCTCTGATACACATCGATAACTTCATCCTCTGTCAACTAATGAAAGAATTTAATTGATTATATTGTCGTAATTACAAATATATTTTAAAAATAAAGAATTTTTAGGAAAAACGCGAGTTAAAGTAGAGAAAAATAAACTATTGAAAGATTAGTGATGCTTCAATTTTTTCATTACCGTTGCCACGATTCTACTTACACTGATCGGAGTTTCAACGTCCTCCGACGGCGGACCGTACAACAATAAATCGCCGTACTCGCCGATGCACCACGTAGCTACTTGCGCCAAGGGCTGCTTGTCGGACGTATCTTTTTCTAACGCGCGCCACAATGCGCTGACGGCGAAACTCTGTTGAGACTGCGTCTCCGATATTAACTGTATCGTACACGCCACCACGTCGTCTCGCACGTAATTACCAGCCTGAGGAGCAGGAAAAACCTCAATAATCATAATTCCGCACTCCGCTTTATGATCACGCAAGAATACACACCGCGACGAGGACTTTGAACAGCGTCTCGAGATGCCAACGTTTGTTCGGAGCGAATCTCTCTGCGGACATCACAATATTGCTGCTGCATTGAGCCTTGAATTCCGGATCGGCGCGTTCCAAAAACAAGAGCAATTCCTTTATCATGTTTCTGATATTGTTGGAGTTTACGAGTGCGAAACTCAGTTCCATCGCGCGCCTCCTGATTGACACATCCGGATCTTTCAAGCATTCCTGAAATACGCCGCAAGACATTAATTAAAATAAATAATATTATCTACATCTTAAAGAAAAATCTGCGAGATATCTTACTAGAATTGTCGATCGATGCCTCTGCACCGCGCTTGTGTCCACGTAAACCGTCTTCAGCAACGTGTTCAAGGCCACGTATCTGATATTCTTATCATTATTCAGTAAAAATCTGCCGAGTATATTGACTGCTAAGACTCGAAGCCCGCTCTCCGACTTGATATCCATGATCGAGAGAACCGTTTCGTAGAGTATCGTATTGCCAACGTTTTTACTGGTTTCCGTGTTGGTCGCGACTTGAGCAAGTATATCGTTCATGGCCTCGGACGCGTCGACGTCATTACGTCCCAGAATACGAAGGAGACGCAATATCTTCACTTGAAGAAACGGATCGGACACCCCAGACACGTCGTGCTCAGGCGAGTATCCGGCTAGGATCAGATTCTTCAGGATTCTTACGAGGTTTGGCACAATCTGCAATGAGACTTCCATTTATATCCATTTAATTCCTAATATGTTCTAAATTTTCACTTAACTAGATCGTTTACAACAAAAAGGAGACAAGATCGACAGAACAAGCCGTTGTGGAATAACATATATACATGTAACATTTTCATGTAACATATATCGAGATACGAATAATGTAAGCACGACTGACTTAAATAATATTTAAAAAATGTAATTTTAGCTACTCGAGAATGACTCTCTCGGGCACGAGTTATGCCATCAAACGTCATATTTCTATAAACTAATTAAGTTTAATTAAGTATACAATAAGAGAGAAACAGAGTGCCTGACCTACGAACAAGCTAAATAAACATGCAACTATATAAAATGCTATCATGCTAATTACACAGGTATTACAATTGTTATTATAACAATATCTTTGAACACATAACTACTTTCGCTAATTAAAAATTTATGCGTATATCTGAAAAATTTTACGATTACCTACAAATACGATATAAAATTTGATCGTTTTAATTACGAAAGAAAAATAACACAGGAAAGCAGACGATGGTACGATGTTTGATATTATGTTTTAACAGCTGGAACGTTCACTTTAGACAAGGTAAAAGAATGAAGTCTGCGAGTAATAAGCATACATGCAAAAATATCAAGAACGTTTATATGCATATTACCTCACGATGGCCGCATTCCTAAGAAAGACAGAATCAACCCTTGTATTACTCGCGCTTGTATGCTCAAAATAATAAACTTAACGGAATAAAGTTTCACATTGAGTTTCACACGAAACACCGTTATCCTACCGTTAACGATCGCCCCGTAATTAGATAACATATTTTCTAAAAAAAAAAAAAGATTAAAAGAGAAACACGCGTATATTAATAAAGCCGTTTGAAGTCTATTTAGAGCAGAGAGCCCTGTCTGTATTTTGAATACAAATGAGAGAACGTGCTCGAAGCTTTGATATTCAATAACACAAAATGTTTTTACATGTTTAACATTACATAACGTAAGATGTAAGAAAACATTTTTTTTTTCCCTCCTAAAACTTACAAGTTTGCGAGGAATAACCTGCACAGTGCGCATATTAATACACGCAACGCCAATAAACTATTATTTCGCGCAACTATCTCGGCCTGTATAAGAATTAAGACTGCATTCTTTTCCATCACTACCGCGAGCGAACTATAATCACCTAACAAACAATCCCACTCTTCCTAAGTCACCTAATAAATAATTCTACTATTGTACGCACTAGATACTCTGTCAGCTTCTCTACGATCTATCTAACTTGGTATATATATCGGCTATACTAGATACGTCAAATTATACAGTTGCACGATAGTTGATCAATTAGTGATGCAATACTCTAATTCGTCGGGCGAGGAGATTTACGACATCGAACTTCTACGGAAAACCTGTTCTAAGACTAACAATTCGTAGACTAATGTCGCGCATCGAGCAAGCGTTCTTCCGAACGTACCTTTTTAAAGTGATTCAACGTGTCGATGCTGTTCTCGCACATCTCCGTGATGAGGGTGACGCCGGTGATGAGCACCCCGTGATTCTTCTCGGTGATTAAGCTGCGAGTGGCCGGCAAAAACATCTCCATCAGCTCCGGCACGCGTCTGATGATCCGAAAGGCGCAGAGCGCCGCTTTCTTCCGGATGTACGCGTTCGGCGACTTCATCAGTCTCTCGACCTCGGACGCAAGATCTCTTGCCATCTCCGGCGACGCGATCGCGCCCAGAGTGCACAACGCCAAACCGATGACGAACTGCGTTGAACTGTTCAAATCACTGTGCGAACGAAAGAGAAGAAAGATATTAATCGTCGACAAACATTATATTGAAAGTTTTAATGTAGTTTTACATAGTTTTAGGCAATATTACTTTTTTAAACAATTTGTTATCAGGAGATGCACATCCTGTCGTTCGTCCAGTAATAACATGGCCCCCAAGTAACCGATTCGTTTGTCCGTAAATCTCGGTGAAGCAATAAGCTTTAAGCATTCCAATTGGCCAAAATGCGCTGGATACCTGAAAATGTCATTAATCTTCTTAATAACATGTCTTTTTTTTATATCGAATTGCGTTGCATATCGAATAATTGATATATCAATACAAACCCCAGCATATGGATATACAATAGCTTCGCAATGTTACGACATCTCCACACACTATCTTCTTCTCTAAATGTCGAACGGATATACGCACACTCCTTGTTCACGACTGTTCTCTCTTCCGCTGCCGTCCGCGCGGCTCGTATTTGTCTAATCAGATCCCTCAACCGTGTCGGCGCAGGCATCCTAACTGTTGAGACTTTCAAAGTGTGAAAAAGTTATCAGTACAAATTGACACTATTCTTGGTAACCGCTGATTCCACTTGCAAACTTTGCACATTAATAAATAAATTAGAATAATGTAAAAATTACTGAAAAAAAAAATTAAACAAAATTAGTTAAAATAAAGATTTATATCTGAAGTTTTTTTAACAATTTAATCTGATTAAAATTCTGAGAATGCGGAAGTAACAAACAGAAGACGCAGATGGTAAACGGATAAACAGAATCAGATGTTCCAATGATTAGCTATCATAATCATTGTAAGTCAATTGCACTGACAATGCACCTACCTCTTTCTACAGCCTCATTGAAAGCTTGCTTTATGGAGGCCATATTAAAGGCTGGGTTAAACCTGAAAAAGTACACACCCATGCTGTTTTATGAGTATTAACACTTCTACTTGTCAAATCTGTTTATCGTACAATGACACTTGTGTATGATAGCATAACTATGACCAATTTATATTTACCTTGCAATATAAAATATGAAAGCAGAATTCTTTCACTGATATTAAAAGAAATTAATATGTCATATTGTAATCAATATAAAAATAATAAACCAATAGATTTTCTTACTTCATGTCATTACAGATAAAGGTACTACAATTGATTTTTCTGTCACTGACATTTCTATCCATATGTTAATTTCAGTTAACCTTTAAATACATGTCAGATTGTATGACTGTGCATTACCCATGTTCTGAGGCATTCATCGTTTCTCAGTTTGAATTTTGTATCTGTGTCACAAGCTTCACAACGAAAACCAAGCGCAGACGAGTACAAAACACGAACTCTGCTATCCTCCTAATGGACACAGGATAACAATATTATAAAGCACATTAGTACCATATCATATTAATAAATTAGGCATTTTAGTTCTGTCGAAACAATATATATCAAGAAATACTCAATCTCTCATGCCAACATTACGACAAATTTAAATTTTATATGTGAACCATCTTAAATTTTACATGTCTAACGTTATATTCTGTAAAATAATTTTGTAGTTTTTAGCTCTGCAGCTTGCATATTGCCTTGATAATGTTCATTGCGCTTTATATACTTTATAAAAAATATATTCTTTCCATTGTAAAATAATTATTACACGTTCTAAAACTAACATATAAGTATAATTTCTTATCACTGGTTTCACATAAAAGATATGAAACAGTTAGAGCTTCATTAATAAAACTAGATTTTCTACTAAAAACAATTTAAACATAATTATTGTTCGCTCCTAAAAATCTAATCTAATCTACTGCCATTTGGAAAGAAAAAAGTAACAAGCACTGAGATTACTTAAATTGAAATTTCATTAATCCAAATGACCAATAATTGTATACTTTATTAAACTTGAAGACTACGATGTAAGGCAGAATGCAAACGGTAGAGGAAAAAAACCTGTTTTCTAAAATAGGGCACTGATTCACAGCTTTGTAAATATACAAATTTGTTATATATCGCCGGAATACATTACTCGTGTCTCGTGGCAAGAGCGTGAAGGACATACCAGACTCGGAATGCATCGGTGATCGCGACGAGTAGAACGCGAAGAGCGCAATAATATCAATCAGAGCAGCGCTGCGAATGATGTCACTCGCCCGTACGATTTCGCACGTTAGAACCTCGTAGCGCGCAACTCGGCCACGGCAGCATATTGCAAAACACGGGGGGCTTACATAAAAAGGAACTGCGAAGGGCAACTGCGAGTCGCGAGTTAACCCGCAGCTGTCAAAACGTTAACTCTCCGCGTACGCCGTGAACGTCGCCGTGAACAGTCCGAATTAAGGGAGGAGACGGTGACTTCCTGCGTGACGTATCGCGGGAATACGGGACGCACGGTGACAGAAGGTGAATACGGGGAAGAGACGGGAGTGTGCACTCGCCTCCTGCAGGGCCGCCGGCGTGGCGATATCGCGGTTACTCCCAAGTGAAGATAAACGGGGGGGAGGCCCCGCTTTATGTTTACATTACAGACGGGGGACGATGATTCGGGACGGACACCGAACGGACAAACGAAGATCCGACAAGTGCCGATTCGCTCGGCCGACCGAAGAAACGAACCCGTCGTTTTTCGAAGTCGAATCACTGCGGGAATCTCGTTGAGGCGCGAGCCGTGCGCCCTCATGCTCTCCGCCGCCGCGATGGTGCGCTCGAGGAACACGAAACGCCACCGGTGTTTCCCCCCCGCGGTGTACGCGTGTTATTCGAGCCGAGAGATGGTTCCGACTCGCCGTCGCTGCGGGACGACGACGTGGAAGTACGTACCGTGTTTAACGCCCGTCGAATTCCGTGAAGGCGGAGGCTAGTCGCTAGTTCGCAGCCCCGTGAACATAACTTCGCTGCACGAAGTCCCTACCCACACGGTCGTCGACCACACGAATCTCACACACACTGCACTCTGACTGTCCGCCCGCGCGATAACCGTGCACCTAACGATGTGCACTATTCTGCCTGTTTCTCTCTTTCTCCCTCACTCTCCGTCTCTTTCCTTTTCACTCTTTCGCTCTCTCCTTCTCTCTCTCTCTCTCTCTCTCTCTCTCTTCTTTCTCCCTCTGCCTTGTTGACGACAGGTCGCGCGGAATTTCGCGTGTCTGTGCGCAACCAGAGACTCAAAGATGGTCGCCGTCGTCGACGTCGTCACTGACGTTGTCAGTGACTTTTCGGGGAAAAGAGGCGAGAGGAGAGGAAAACGCAATACCTGTCGTCGTACGCTTCGGATTATAACCTCACACCTACGCTCGACTCGCGCGAGAACGGTGACGGCCGTCGAGAAAGGGAAACGCGCGTGAATCGTCGCGCCGTGTCACGTGAGCTTGATTCATACAGGAAGCATTTTGAATATAGCACTGTCGCGCGACGGGCGCGAAATTCGGATTTCGACAAAAGCGACAAATACAAAAATCTCGATAAAGTTAATTTTTCACAGCATGAATATAAAAGAATAAGCCTTGAGCCGATTATTAATATTAATAATTAAGCTTTTACTGTTGGCGAGTGAACCATTTTCAGGTAATTGTGACATGTAACAATCTCAATTTGCCAGCATTCCAATATCTTCCATGATAGGCGCGCGGGTAGTCTTTTTTTTCTGTTCTCAAGATAAGATAACGAAATCTCTTTGTATATTTGTCCGTTCCACGAAAGCTGTAATTCTTTTTCTACAAGTGTCATTGTACGATTGGTGATACAAATGAGACACAATCAAAATAATGCAAAACATTGTTTTAATTTTATATAATGAATAGATATTTAGATATTGTAATTTACATATTTATTTTCACATTCCATATTAAGCATTAAATGTAGTTATTATTTATTACTGCACAGTCTTTTTATGAATAAAATAAAATTTTGAATTAATTGTCACATTTAGCACTTTACATATATATGAATATATATTACAAATAAATTAAATAATTTATTTCCGTTCTTTTTCCTCAATATTTCTTTAAACATTATCTTGAGTATGCTAATCTTCAAAAAGAAAAAATGTAATCTATACTTTGTTGTGCTAAAGTCCCCATCTGTTGGATTATACATCGAATAAATTACCTTCTGTTAAGTTCTGGTGGCAAAATACTCCAATCTTCGGCTTCATAGTAAGGCCACATGGTGTATGATAATTTAGAACAGATAAGGAGTTTACTCTATTGAAAAGACGGATAAAACACAAAAATCACAACCTATAATATATCAAGTAGCACAAGTGCGCGATCAGTCTTGTACGTACTTTATCACTAATATAATAGAACATCGGGACAAGGTGTGGGCATTATCTCTTATCTCTGTTACTACGTTGATATCAGGTATTTGCACTTACACAAATTCAGAGAGTATCTGTTCTCCTAATAAAATTGAATAGTTTTTTCATTTATCTTGCAACTGTATTTTAGATATTATCGTTATTATTAAATACACAAATATTTTATATGCAAAATTAACATCTTTTTAAATGTCTAGAGTTATATAAACAATGTATATATATTTTTAAAAAATCTCTTTATTCGTAAAAACATTGTACACACACGATGGTGTATACATATCGCAATATATTATGTATTACATAAGTTAGATCAGGAATGTTTCACAATTAAGATAAGGAGTTGTCATCCTGATTGCGAGGCGGCCGTATATCACTATTTCTCTTCACACAATCCACTAGCCAATGTATACCTTCATCTACACCATCCCTTTTGCAAAATATGACTTTTTACCATTATTTTACGTAATAATAAATGCAAAAAACATTAATATTTTACTTTATGTAATCTGTTGAGAAATAATAATTAAAATGTTTAATCACAAACAATCCTATTATTTCCCTACAGATTACATGAAGTATAGTGAAATGCTGATTTTTCTTACCCATTAAGAGCCGATACAGGCATTACCATACAATCTCTTCTACCAATTAAATGGGCACTTTGATTAAATATTGGTTTTACTTCTCTGACACCCATACAATCAGGTACATCCTGCTTGTTTGCTAGCACTAGTAATGGTACACCTGTTAAATGCTCAGACGATATCACTTTATCTACAATAAAAATAAAAAATATACATATTTTTTTATTTTTCAAGATTAATTCTTGAGAATTTTATTATAAAATAGATTTAAATATTAAAAAATATGTCTTATTTTGTTACTAACTTTTATTTTAATAATAATAGTATCTTGTCCAATTTGTTAATATCAAAAAGCATTATAGAATGCGTCTTACCAAAAGTTTCTTTGGAATCAGGTATTCTGTCACGATCGGACGAATCAACGATATAAATCACAGCATGAGATTCTGCATAATACTGCAAACATTAAATAACATCTAATCATACTGTTGAATGCAATCTGTTAGTATAATAAAAAGCATTATATAATTTCATAAATAAGAAAAAGGAAAACACCCTAAAAGAGATAAGTACACAATAATACATGATTTATAATTAATTACTTTATCCCATAAAGATTGAAGCTCCTCTTGACCACCTAGATCCCAAAAGTTGAAAGAAACACCGGCAATGTCGATCTTGCCGATATTCAGGCCTACAGTAGTTGTAATCTTGCTCGGATTCATCCCCTTGTAATTCTTCGTAAATTTCGTTTTCGCCGCTTCCAAGTAAGTCTAAAAACAAATACGATCCCGAGTAATTGTCTCTGTGTCATAACCCCAAAACCACATCTTTAACCATCCTACCGTCTTTCCTGCATTGTCAAGTCCCAAGATTAATATAAAATACTCGTCCTTCTGCACCAGATACTTGTACAAACCGTGCAACAGTGTGTACATCTCAATTATCCGTCGATACACTCGCTAATATAATTTACATGTCGTATTATTTACATCTTAGGTCCGCCCTCGTCACGCTTGAGCCATATTGTCCGATTTAAAATCTGCATGGCATCGCTAATAGAGGATTCACACCGTCTGATATACAAGATATTAATATCCAATAAGAAAATGGACTCTTTGGAGACTTTGTTGAACGCCATTGTTGTACCTAGAAAATATACTCGTTAATTGGATATCAAATGTAGTCAAATGATGAATAGTATGAATCTTCCATTATAGTATATAATATTTACTCCTGTCATAAGTCATATGATGATCATAAAGCGGATGGCAACAGTCAATAACAGTAATATCAACATACATATGAAATAAATTCAGATTTTGGAATAACAATGACGATGAGAAATTCAAATTCTTCAGATTGAATAACTCTACATACCGTCTTATTATAAGATCAACTTTAATATTTAGAATTTAATTTGGCCGAGTATGAAAGAAAAAGATTAAGGAAGTTTAGAAGAATTGTAACAATGGCAAAATGCATTCTCTTGAAATATTCAATTTTATTGTTGCATATAGTTATGTATATTTTGCCTATAGTTGCAATTCACGTTCGTAATCCAAAAGTAGCATTACTACTTTGTTTTTTTTTCCTTTTATGTACAGCACTTTATTCAATTATTTTAATTTGTTTGACTTTACTTTTCGCCCTCCACTCTCATCTCACTACTCTTCGTTCAGTCTTGTCACAATATAGTACTTATGAAGCAGCACGGTGCACACATAGAATTCGTGTTAGACTCTGAAATCCCATTTATTTTTATACAGATCTCATTATCTTCGCATTACCTTATCTTAGATAAAAAAAAAAGCTGAAAAAACGTTAGAATAAAGCAGTATAAACCACGAAAATATAATACTTTCCATACTTGTCATTAAAAATCGTCAGCGTTTCCATAAGTAATAGCATATTTATTATTTGTATGTTTGAACCTATTATGTACATTAAATAGAACATATTCAAACGTTTAACAGAAAGACATAGTTTTTACAAAATTTGCGTTTATATACGGGAATTGAGCTTGCTTACTCTATTTGATGTTAATTATCAATTTTGTATCTAAAAAATTGCACATTTATAATCGTCTAATTTGCGTGCTTTCTTAAAATTAAGCACAACTTTGACATTATTAACGAGTGAAGCTCGTGCTCCTTCATATTATCCCTGATACACTCACGCATGCATACTTAGGGCTGTATAAACTGCTATTACTTCACTGTACATTTAATAAAAAAAATTCGAAAGTACGAATGTAACAGAAACATATCAGATGTATGCGTAAAGCACAATATAATAGACATATTATCGCAGTAATTAAAGTTAGGAAAATAAATTAAGCTACTAGAGCCGGAGCTAATTGACATTGCTCATTCATTAAATTATATTATTAACAATCCAGTTGTACACACGGAGAATGCCTTCTCACATGAAGTTACACGCGTCTCGTCGAACATGTCAGGCATGTCCCCGTGTGTACAAACGTTTCGATCATTTTTCGTGATCAAAACGTGTGACTCATTCTACAACTGTTAAGAAATTCAAATTACAATGTTAAAACGTTAATATAATTTAATAAATAAGCAATGTCAACTAGCTCCGGCTCTAGTAACTTAATTTATTTTCATTCTATTGAATAATATACTAAAGAGTCAAAATCAATAATTTTGTTTTTATTAATTAAAGTTAGGAAACAATCATTTCTTTAAAAGAGAAAGAAAGAAAAAAGAAAACAGGAAAGTTTCGTGGTACTATGTATCCTGTTACGAGAAAATCTGTGAGTCCAATAAATGTAATATGCTATTTTTAATGCTAAACATATAAATCAAAATCAATCTTCCTTGTTCTTATTCCGTATCACTGACAATTGCTTGCTTATAGAAAATTAAAATAAAATCTTGCTATCAATCAAAAGTGGAGTAGCAGACAAACGCAGATCTCACAATTCAACTAAATTAGGTTATCCTTATCAGAGAGTATATCGCCCATGTGAAACGGAGCACGTTGCTTCGAAATTATCAACTACCCTGTATCGACCGTATCGCTTCGCAATACATCTCGATTATATTTGTTTCCCCCTTTTTTTTTCTTCCTAATATTGCGGCACGCGAACGCGATATAATCTTATAAACGTATAAACTATTTTTTTTAACCGTGTCACAGCCCTCATGGCTATAGAACACAAAGTACAACTACATAAATTTTTCATAAGATAATTATGTTCGATTCGTTAACAAAGAATCGTATAAAAAAAAATTAGTTTGAATTTAAAAAAAAAAAAAAAAAAAAA